GCAAATCCATATCTAAGGCAGTATAATTTTCTCTCTCATTTTTATAATTTCTGTAGCTCCATCTTTTTGTATTTATATGCCTTCAAAATTTCAATAATTTATTATTAATATGTACATATTATTCTCAGGTACTTTTAGCATTCAATATTTAATCCTCTTCAGATATGTATATAACCATATACAGTCTTTCATTTATAATAACAAGATACTTTGAATCAAAATTATCTATTCTGCCTACATTGTGGGCCCAGACACTAGGTCTACAATGTCAAATAGAAATATTAACAACCCATAGGAAATAATAATTTAAAATAGATATATTATCAAATTGCTTTTGTGAGACTCTTATTCTACTTTTAGTGCCACTAAAAATAATAATCCTTCTACTCACAACATTTATATTTTTCATTTAAGAAGATTGTGGTGGTTGAAAATATTCTTTAACAACTTATCTACTGGAGTTTGTATATGACCCTTGTTTTCTTCTATCAGAACAACAATAGATTTTGAAAATCAAAGTCACCAGGCATATAAATATATTTCTCACTTCATGTATTTTGGTTTCCTTTGCTAATTTTCTCAATCACTTTAACGAGAAGAAATTATTTCCCCCTGGTTATATATTTTGAAAGTTTCTAATTTGTTTTCCTTGACACTGAACGTGATGCTATTTCTCACTATAGTAAATATATGTCTTTGACCTCATCTATTATACCTGCTTATATCCTGATATGTGTAGGATCCTCAACCAGACCCTAGTGGTTATATAAGTTTATATACAAAAGCCAGGGCATATACTTTGTGAACTTGACTATTTGTCTCCTCCTTTTATGTTGTACATGAGTGAAAGCCATAGTCTCCTGACCAGTGCTGGTTGTCAATATTCAATTATTAAAATAAATCATGTTAGTTCCACCCCTGGCGGGGTGGCTCAGTTGACTGGAATGCCGCTCAATACACGAAAAGTTTTGGGTTTGATTCCCAGTCAGGACACGTACCTAAGTTGCTGGTTTGATCCCTAGTTGAGGCATTTAGGAGAAGCAAACAACCCATGTTTCTGTCTCACATCAATGTTTCTCTCTCCCTTCCTCTCTCTCTAAAAATAAATAAACATATCCTTAGTGAGGACTTTAAAAAGTTATGTTAGTTCTACTATATAAATCTTACAATCTTTCCATATCAATAAAATGAGAAATTTGAGTCCAAGGCATTTTTAAGAGTTTGTTTTAGCTAAAACCCCATATCTCAGTTTCTATATTTGAAGTTGTTATTTAAAATTCTCTAATGGAGGTTGTTGATTCAGGGAAATATATCAATAGAAAACATAATATTGTTTGCCATAACTTTCCCAAGTATTTTTGTTCATAGCAGACTTTCAAATCTGGTGTCCACCCTGGCCTTCCCACGCTAGAATCCTGGGAGTCATTCTAGAATCCTCTTTTCCTCAGTATAGCAAAGCATGATGTTTTTACTGGTTGACTTTTATTTCTAGATGCTGAAGGTGGGAGAGGAATTGGGTGTCCTTCAATGGCTTTTAATTTTCTTTTGTTTCAAAGGACCCTACATTCCCCCTCACTCTTTCTTTTCTCCTTCTTTGTGTGGATACCAAAAACCCCTCTCCTTTTCTTCCTTTGTTGTTTTAAGCAGCTTTGAGACAGAATTTACCCACTTAAAGGGTACATTTAAATGGTTTTTATTATAGCCACAGAGCTGTGTGTCCATCACCACAATCTAATCTGAGAACATTTTGTCTTTCACAAAGAAACCCTGTTCCCAGAGCAGTCACTCCCATTCCCTCCCATCTCTCCCACCCGCCCTAAGCAATCACTATTTGCTTTCTATCTGCACAGTTTTGTCTGTTCTGGACATTTCATATAAATGCAATCATACGAGAGGTGACCTTTGGCAGTCTTTCCAAAGAAATGTGCCTCCTCACATGTCTGTATGCACCGAAAGCTTCTTTCCTAAAGCACTGTGTTCAGGGACCAGAACACCTTTTCATCATTTTTAGTTTTTACAGAATTGCCTTTCTTCTCCATGAAAGCTTTCGGTGAAAGCATGGAAGATAATTGATTGGCATCTCTATTGTTTTTCATAGTTTATTTTCTAGGTAACTTGAAGTTGGATGTCACTGTCTTCTAATTATACTGAAGGCATGGGTTTTGTATAGTTTTATTTGTTCATTTTGTTGTTCTCTTAGTGTTTTGTGTTTGTATGTTTTTCCTTCTGGAAGGAATATTGGAAAATTCTTATTTACATTGCTGCCATTGTCTTGGAAACTCTGAATTCCTATAACTTCTTTTCTGGGCTCCAAATATTTGGGGCCCCGATAGAGGTTAATTTGGAATTTTACTATATTACTAGCAAGGCTTACGTTAGGTTCTAACTTTATTTATTTGCTTTCTCCAGATAGAGTCTAATGCAATAAAATCCTCATCTCAAGAGACTGCATTTTCAGGTTATGACTCAGTATTATTTTTGTGAGACACATTTTGGAAGAACAATACTGGGTCTAAGAAATGTTTCCTGAATCATCTTGTAATTCAGAAGTCATCTTCCTATTATAAAAAAAATTATTGTTTAGATTTAATATAAACAATTGTCTTAGAGGATTTTTATATTTCTAAAGATAATTGTGAAAGTAAGAGATAACAAATATAATCTTCCCTTGGGAGATAAATGTAACAGTAAAAGGTAGAAAGACATGAAATATATCTTAAAACTAAGGAGCAATAAGCAGTCTTAGAAATTCATTAACATTAGCTTATTTTGTTATTTCTGAATTACTTATTTTCATAGAATACAACAACAAACTGGTAAAAAACAAACCTAGGCAATCATAAAGTCTAACTCCATTAAAAAAATAATAAAACAAATGAGGCTAAATAAATTTCTTAAAAATCACAGACATGTTAGGGATGAAGCTGAATTTGAATCAGTTAGCTTTTGCTATGTAACAATCCAACCCAAAACATAGTGGCCTAAATGATCATTGACGTGGCTCATAATTCTGGGGTTGGCAATTTGGATGCAGATCAGCTTAATGCATTTCCTGCTGGCCTTCTCGCAAGTATCACACTCAGATGTTGGATTGACTAGAATCTGAATTACCTAAATGATCCCACCTACATATTTGAAGTTTGACAGGCTCTTGGCCAAGGCCACAAGGATAACTGGGCCATGTATCTCTCAACAACCAAGAGGCTAGCCTGAATGAGTTCACACGCTGGCAACTGCAGGGTTCCTGAGAGCAGAAGGGGTGGAAGCTGAAAGCCCTCTTGAGACTTAGACTTGTGCTAGCACAGCTTCATTTCCATTGAGTCCTATTGGCCCAAGCAAGTCACGAAGGCAGACCAGATTCAAGGGGTGGGGAAGCAGATTCTACCTCTTCCTGAAAGGAACTTCAAAGCATTTGAAAACCCCCTTCTTTTGTTTTCCCAATTTCACAACCCCACGTAGTTAATTTCCAGATAAGCAATTGGATAAGATAGCTTACTCCTCTACTTAAGAGTAACATTTTTTAATGAAACATAGGTGTCTCTATCCAAAGGGTTATACATGAAATGGAGCTTGAAGAATGAGTTTTCCAGACAGAAATGTAAAAATTGTATCTAGATATAAAAAACACACAAAAAACATGGGAAAGCACAGAATTTAAGAGAGAAGGACAGGCTTTGGGTTAGTGAGAAAATCAACATGGCTCATGGGTTAGATCGTGGGGTAGAGAATGGAGAAATGTGGTGGGTAGTATGGATGGAGGGGTCTTCTGATATCCAGGGTGTCTTTCCATTCAAAGCAGGGGCTCTGTCACCCAGTTTCATTCAAGAATATGCGTGTAGTTCCCACAAAGGAGCAGTAAGGTAGAATTTCCATTTTGGTAAGGTTTTCTGCCCTCCCCCATTTCCCACCAGAAGAGGAAATCTGAACAAATACAAGTTCTGTGAATTGAAGGATACTGGTGTATAGCAGAGATTCTATGGAAATTCAGGGGACAGGAATTTTATTATCAAAACAAGGACATGATGGCAGCATGAACCAGAACTTTGGGTCCAAGAAAGAGCCCAGTAGTCTGTATAGGTCATGTCATCAATGAGTCATAGATATAAGTGACAGTCCAGAATTTCAGAGAATAGAACATAAATCCGTCAGCCCACCAGGTTCTAGCCCAGCACTTCCTCTCTCAGAATGAGCTCAGAAAGTGAGACAGCATGAACCCTGCAGGTGGGAGACATTGATGCTTGATAAGAACAGACAGAGGAAAAGGCAAAATCAATATGATTACAAAATTCCTTGTGAACTTGGTGCATTACTTACTACTGTAACTCAAATGGAAATAATCTTTCAACTACATTTGCAACCCTATAAAAATGTTATGAGCTAAATAATGGCCTTTTAAAAAAAACGGGACTATATTTATGACTTCTTTCTTAAAGATGATAAAATAATGTAAGCAACGTGAAATGATACAGATAAAATGTTATTTTAGCAGTTCTCAACCTGTGGATCACGACCATCGGAAAACACATATAGCATATCAGATATTTACATTATGATTCATAACAGTAGCAAAATTACAGTTATGAAGTAGCAATGAAAATAATTTTATGGTTGTGGGTCACCACAACATGAGGAACTATATTAAAGGGTCGCGGCATTAGGAAGGTTGAGAACCACTTTTGTTTAAATGGAAATGTAACAGCTTTCACTTGTTCATATCCATCTAGTACAATTTTCTATTTCTCTAACTTAAAATCGGTTTAATCATATAGGACGCCCCAAAAAGTGTATACACACTTTGAATAATTAATTGCAATGTTTCTTTCTTTTCAGGTTTGACCCATTGGAATTAATAATTACTTAAAGTGTGTATACATGTTTGGGAGGAGGCACCCTGAATACACCATCCCATGGTTACTCTTTGTACTCTGCCCTGTGTTTTCAGTTGAGTCCCTACTTACAAATCAAATTACCTGCTTGGTTTTTTTGTTTCTTCGTTTCAGAGGATCTTATCATGTCCTTCACAGTGTCCATGGCTATCGGGCTCGTGATCGGAGGATTTATTTGGGGTCTGTTTGTCTGTTTGTCTCGAAGAAGAGCGAGTGCCCGCATCTCCCATTGGAGTTCAAGTCGGCGACCTAGGTCTTCTTATAATCACGGCCTCAACAGGCCTGGATTTTACCGCCACAGTGGCTACGAACGCCGCAGCAACCTCAGCCTGGCCAGTCTCACCTTCCAGCGACAGGCTTCCCTGGAACAAGGCAATTCGTTTCCAAGAAAATCAAGCTTCCGGGCTTCAACGTTCCATCCATTTCTGCAAAGTCCACCACTTCCCGTGGAAACTGACAGTCAGGTGATGACTCTGCCCTCTTCCCCGACCTCCCCCACCATCCTCACCGCTCACAGCCTGAGGCGCCCTGATTTCCACTGGTCCAGCAGCAGCCTTCCCGTGGGCCTCTCCCCACCGCCTCCGCCTACCTACGAGTCCATCATAAAGGCATTCCCAGATTTCTGACAAGGAGCTTTTGTTAACTTGGTTCTTTCTTTCCTTGTCTTTTCTCGAAAGGAAATCAAAAATAGACTAAACAGAATTTTGAGGACGTGGCCCAAACGACCAAGGAGTTCCCAAACTGGAAAATGCTCATACAAGTTGGACATTACAATGTACATTTTCTCTGATCCCATTTTTTCCTTATCTCACAAATAAGTAATATTTTCGCAAATCGTTGTATATTTATGTATTTTGTAGTCAATGTGAGGATTTTTAAAGGTAGTGATTCTAATCTAGGAATCATCAGTAATACAGTATATATATTTTAGACTAAAATAAAAACAAGGTAGTTGTGGTTTACAATCCCCATTCACTGTCCAATGTGATTACTTAGGGTGAAAGAAATCAGTGTCACTTAAAATGTGTTCTGGCCTAAGGAATTTTAATTTTGCTTTCTTTGGAATGACGAATGAACGATTTTACAGTCTTGGATTTCTAATGAATTATATGGGCACAAAATGACAGAACACAGAAGATTCCAAAGTTCCCTGATTCCACTCACTTATGCAAAGTATGGGAATCAAGCCAAAGAAGCTGAACTCTGTGGGTGTTACAGGATACTTCCATTTTTAACCTTTACTTTTGTGCTTTTCCTCAGAATAGTTTTCCACACATCACGAAGGCAGAATCCCTGGATTTACTCACATGATAATTTACTTTCTTCACTGTTGTAGGTATGTTTTTAGAAAAGCAACAGCCACAAATCCAATTCATTTCACCTAAAAACACACGTTAACACTGAGCTTATATTTTTTCTAAGGGATAAGTTTTTTTTCTTAGATTTAAATCTAGCAATAGGGAAAGCACTTTATCTAGAGACTTTCTCCTGTAATTTCACAAACAAAACAAAGAAGTTGGAGTCAGTGGGAACAAAGTCTGTCATTGAAATAGATGTTACACCCATGAAGAATTCTCCTTCCTGGATTGACTCATCAGGCATCAACCCTCGTTTGCATTTCTATGAATTCAACTTCAGATTCTGTGAAGAGTCTTTATAAATGACTAGAGGCCCGTTGCATGGATTCGTGCACACTGAAAGGAAATTAATTAGAAGAACTATTTTAGAGGCCAGGGAGGGACTGCAGGAGGTTGGCCAGACTGGGAGGAACCACAGGAGGGCTCCAGAGCATGTCTGGCCCGTTTTGCCCAGTCCCAATTAGTCAGACCCCAGCAGCAAGCTAACCTACTGGTTGGAGCATCTGCCCCCTGATGGTCAGTGCACATCATAGCGACCGGTTGAATGGTCAAACGGTTGGACACTTAGCATATTAGGCTTTTATATCTATAGATTAAACCATGCCATAACTGCAGGCAGTTATTTAAGGAGTTCACTTCCACAGACGGCCATCTTCTTAAAGAAAGGTACACCCCAAATGTGGGTACCAGAGAACTTCAGGGGCCAGATGCCTGTGGCTGCCCTTTTTCATTTAAGGACACAAGTTCACTGGATAATGACTCTAAAGGTCTGTGCTTTATTTCTGACACAGTGAATATTTTGCTTATGTCACTGTTTGTTTGCTCCTATGAACGTTGGGACTTTTGGTGAAGAAAAACGTACTCTCATTTTACTTTCTGCAATGCAGTGGTCCCAGCTACTAGTGACTACATCTGGCTTAAGATTGCAATGATTTTTAGATAATAAGATTTTTTACATAGCATTTTCTTTATTATTTTTATTTAGCTTATATTTATATTGTTCCTTAAGGACAATTATTATTAATGATGTCTATAGATAGGTTCTCTTTAATGCAATATACCAGAAAGAAAAGAAGGAAAGAAAGAAAAAAAGCTCACAGGATAACCAATTTGTTCTAAGTTTTTTGTTGTTGTTGTTGTTGTTGTGTGTGTGTGTGTGTGTGTGTGTGTGTGTTTAACACATTTAGCAATCGTCATATAGCCACATAAAATTTCAAGGGATCATTAACTTAGTAACAAAGCTATCTTGCATGTATGTCATTCTTATTGTTTAACATGAGAAGTTAAACAGATTTTATGTTGGGAGTAAAAACTGTTTTATATCTCACAATCAAAATGAGTGTCTTGTAAATATTGTGCAATGTCTGAAATGTGAAATTAAAGCACAACCTGCAGACTGTTTTAGTTGTATTTTTTATTTGAAATGTTTAATATTTTTATGAAACAAAATTAAACTGATGTTAATTTTGCTTAATGGGTTATTTATTGAATAACTTTGCGTACCTCCCATTTATTTTGGCCTTTGAACCCAATCTAGACCTCCTTTATCTATTCCTGAGACACAAACTTTATCTTATATAAACATGTATTTTTAAAAAAGGGTGACATCACCAATAAATGGAACAGGATTTTTCAATGAATTAATGCATCTGGAAAATATTATTTATTTAAAAAGTTTTTTTTATTAAGATATAATTGACATATAAAATTGTATTAAGTTTCAGTTGTACAACATAGTGATGTGTACAACAACAAAAATCAGGCTTTGTAGGTAAGCTCCAGCTTAGCTAAGAGCAGAGAGTGGAGGGCGGATACTTAAATTGCGTTATTGATTACAAAGAAGATAGGAGGAAGTAGGGCTGGCAGCTGGTGAGTAACAAATGACCAAATGTTCCTGGGGGTCTTGGAGTAAAGGTATTCAGTGGGAAGACAGAGAGAGAATCTTCTGTTTTTTCCATAGTTATCTGGCTCTCTGGTTTCCAGATCTTTCTGATTTATTTTTGTGCTCCTAAATTCCACTGGTAGGTAGGGGACAAGTTTTTGTCTTGCTTGGCTCACACATATTTCCATTTTTGCTTACCTAACACTCTAATTTTCTTAGGGGAATAATTCTTCCATGTGGCACAGTCTTACTGTGACTCTCTGTCAAAGTTTCCCCACCTGTTCTCTTCCCCTCCTTCCTGTTTATCAAAATGGAGAAAAATTCCCCCTTTTCAATTAATACTATACATTTCCTTTTTGCCTTCTTAGTGATTTTATTGTTTAAAAATCTCTCTTCTCTGGTATTATTACTACTATTTTAAGTTGGGGCCCTTGAAAACAGACTCTGAAATGGTCATTTGTGTGCAGAAATTTTGATGGGGTTGGGGAGCTCTCAGCAAGGAATATCCGTGATTGAGTGAGGGGACAGTATTGGGAAGAAGAGGTTAAAATGAGTGGCATGTCCAAAAGAGACATCAGCCAATCCTATAGAGAGAGCTAGAAAGTTCCTTCAGAGTTGTCCCTAATTGAAACAAAGGACCAAACAGTGGTTAGTGTTAGTGTTAGGGTTAGGGTTAAGTTAAGGCTAGGGGTAGGCAGGCGTAGGGTTAAGGTTAGGTCTAAGTGACCTTTGAATGAGGTGATATGAGGGCACACTCTGTGAATGGGGTTTCCAGGAGCTGCCAGTCAGGTTAAACAGTGACTATTCCTTGGGCATGATGGCTTTTTGAGAAGCTCTAAAGTGACAAAGACTCTCTTCTTGACCAAACTCCACTCTAACCCCCCTGAAGTCTTTTCTCAAATAGGCCCTAACTTCTCAGCCCCCATGTTTGTCTCTGCATTATTCACTTTTAGCAAGAATCCTGCTAAGTTTAACTATAATACTCCATCCTTGCTATCTGATGACTCTTTTTTAAAAAATTATATATTTTTATTGATTTCAGAGAGGAAAGGGGAGGGAGAGAGAGAAACAAACATCAATGATGAGAGAGAATCATTGACTGGCTGCCTCCTGCATGCCCTCCAGTGCGGATGGAGGCCACAACCCAGGCATGTGCCCTGACCTGGAATTAAATCATGACCTCCCTTCATAGGTCAACACTCAACCACTGAGCCACACCAGTCAGGCACTATCTGATAACTCTTTTTTAAAAAAAATATATTTTATTGATTTTTTAGAGAGAGGAAGGGAGAGGGATAGAGAGTTAGAAACATCGATGAGAGAGAAACATTGATTCAGCGGCCTCCTGCACACGCCCTACTGGGGATGTGCCCACAACCAAGGTACATGCCCTTGACTGGAATCGAACCTGGGACCCTTGAGTCCACAGGCTGACGCTCTATCCACTGAGCCAAACCAGTTAGGGCTATCTGATAACTCTTGATATCTAATCAGGTTCCTTATCCTCCACCATCTTCCCAGCTGATGTCTGATCTCCCTGGCCTGCCTTTGGTAAGAATCGTGTTAGACCAATTTAGTCAGAATCCCTCTTTACCTCTGATGCTTACTGTTAGTCATCGTCCCTTAATTGAGTTTCACTCTATTTGAGTCTTTGGCTATAAATTCTCACTTTTCCTTATTGTATTCAGAATTGAAACAGTTTCTACACTGAGGACTGTTTTCCCCTACTGTAATTGTTTTTCTCAGTAAACTATGTTTTTACCACTCTAATTACTGTCTAGCTCAGTGGTCGGCAAACTGCGACCACTTGAGTGTGGCTCTTCCACAAAATACCATGTGTGAGCGCGCACATACAGTGCGATTGAAACTTCGTGGCCACACTCAAGGGGCCAAAGAGCCACATGTGGCTCTCGAGCCGCAGCTGCCAAGAACAACTAAGAATAGGCAAGTTAAAATGCCACAGGGCCCATTGTCCTTATCAAGATTCTGTTGTTTTTCTTGAACAAATGCTCCTGGGTTGTTACAAATCTTTGGTTAATTTCCAGAGTACTGAAAATGTCAGAGAGATTTTTTTTTGCCAGGGTTCTCATTGTCTTTATGAAGGAGAACATTTCCAGAGGTTCTTATTCCATCGTTCCGGCAGGGCTTCTGCTGATTGATATCTTGGTGTTTAGATAATCATGCTATAAACATCTACCGGCATAAAGTGCATCGTTCCTAAAAATTAGAATCTGAGAGCCCATCAGTTCTCCACTAGAATACGGTAGTGATTTCTCCTGGTTGTACTTTTCTTGTGATATAAATGACAGGCAGGCGTGAAGATTATCCTTTAGAAGGAATTAAGTGATTTTAATGGCTTACCCTTCCTCAACCATGCACCTCTCATGAAACCAGAAAGTGTAATACCTACTGATGGATAAAAAAAACTCCCACATTATATCTCAAGTTAAAAATCTGGATCATATATTCCAAAGCTTTCAGTATTCCAACTCTCCAGAATAAATCTCCCACTTCATTAAATCTGTTCCTTCTGGACAAGTGTAATTTATTATTCAAATCCCTTCCATAAAGGTCTTGGAGTGGAGAAATGCTCATGTGTGATACACATCAAGATCAGATGTGTTGCTTGACATAATTTCAGTCTTTATTTAGACACTTCCATTCGCCTGAGTGGTATAGAAATGAGACATGGTTCTGCGTGTCGTGACTTTTTTGACCTCTGCCTTACCCCTAAATACTTGCTTTTCCACAGTGTATTCCTCACTGAAATTCTCATTAAAGGAGACACTTCAGTAACATTTCCCACATGCTTTGACATTTTTGAGGAAAAAAAAAGTTTTATTCTATTAGGCCAATTCCACCTCAAGGTATTTGCATAAGTGGTGTGGGTCTGGCCTTTGACAGTATGTTCCTGTGTGATCTTTGATTGCTCACTCAGGCATACTGTAGACACACAGTCTCGTTGAATACTGTGCTATCTTTACCAAATCAAATCTGGAAAGTTCACTTGTAATTTAATGTACTGTTTTTGAGACATCTTGACGTTTTGACTTTATAAGTGTAAACTGAAAACTGGATTTACTGGAAATTTGTTTTTAAAAATAAAACAACATTTGCCAGATCCCTGATCTACAGATGCTTTATACAATTAGGCAATGCTTATGAGGTAATGCTGCTGAAAGAACATCTTTAAAAAGAAATTTATCTCTAATATTTCTAAAGCATATAAAAGACTATCACTATGTTCAACAGGAACAGAAAATTATACAAAGAACAGTGTAAATTAGCATAGAATCCAGTTTTCTAAAAGGGAGGCAGAGAACATAATCAAATGCTAAAAATGTAGCAATGTTTATCATTGTTGAAAGAACCAGAAGAGCTTTTCTTTCTTTCAAAGGTATAAATATTGTAAATAAGTAAGCTTTTAGGTACAGTGGGCCCATATTTAAAAACCAATTCATATTATTTTTAA